TTTAGAATGCATAGATTGTTAAAAGAGAGCATTAGCATTAACCTCAAACCCCCGAATACGCTGGTAGGAGTAGGGAAAGTGCACACACTCTCGTCTAATGCACTCCTATTGTCACGTGTGTATAGCCACGGCAGACAGACAGATACAACACAGAACTTCGTGCATAAGTACATCAGTTTAGGTTGCCATACCATGTCAGCACAGAGACGTAACTGTCAGTTCAAATCCAAGAGTGATAGCGATAATAGAAGTATTAGCAGTAATGGATAAGATTAGGGAGCAAAGATAATGATTCGGAAAGTATAATTCAGTGAGATTAATTTAGAAAGAGAAAGATAGAGATTATGAGGAATTCAGAAGGTTAGAATTAGAGAGAACACAAAGAGTGGATGCAACTGCGCCATTGCAAACGATTTTGAGTCATGTCGTTCAAGGTCTCTAACCATTGGTGACTTTCGTCTCGCGGACCCCAACCAGGTAGCCTACATCTACCGACATGACTCAGTCCATTTGTCAGTGACTTCATGGATTTCTGCCATGTTTTGGTCTGGCCGCCCCTAACTTTCTTCCAACCTACTCCTACACTACAAAACATAGCTCGTCGCGGCAGTCGGTGGTTAGCCATACGTAACACATGTCCCAAGCATCTCAACTGATGAAGTTCCAATGCTTCCTCTATTCATTTGCCATCCTTACCTAGCACCCGTTTCCTAACGATAGCATTGCTCACTCGGTCGTCCCGGGATACACGAGCAATGCTTCGGATACACCTATGATCCGAAGACTAGTATCCTACGAATGCAGGAGAAGGAGTGTTTACAAAATTAAGAGTATGATGAAAAGCAGGCATCCAACAGAGTTTAAATCGGTTGATCCACCTAGTTCATATTAGAAATCAATGATACACATATTAACTCCATGATCCAGAATAAATCTATTGTCGACCATCGGCTACCGTGGGACTGCATCACCTAATGTTGTTCTCAGTGAAATAAGTTCAGAGAGTTGCTATCTACTTTGGTTTGAGCATTCAAGTAGTATCTCCATGTCATACATACAGAAATTCTATGATTTATGTACTGTATAAATAAATATTGTACTAATATTCATGTGTTGAATTCAATGAAAAGTTATTTTCTTTTCACTGATAACACTGAGTCATCCATCATCTAATGAGCTCGATTGCTTACTATTGGGTAATATGAATAATAATAATAATAACGTGATTCTCTACACAAAAAGGAAAATCTATCTCTATAAATGCTCTGTCTATTTATTTTATTATTATCTCTCAAGGGAGTTTTATTTGCTAGACAGGCAGGCAGGCATGCATGCATGCATGAAAGAACAGCATACATAAGTAAATTCTTATAAAAGAAAAGAAAAGAAACCATGCAATAATTAAGTTTCACTTCTGTCTTATGCTAATTTGTTTATTCACGCTCGTTAGTTAGTTAGTTAGTTAGTTACCTTTTGATGAAAAAATATACAATGGACTATTATCACGTTTCATTTGATAATCATTATTATATCCTGTGCATGCATACTGTTTTCTTCAAGTGGAAAACTGTATTAGTGAGTGAGTTAGTTATTTAGATGTATTATGACTTGAACACCACTTGACCATAAAGAGTTGTTTGAGGTCGGATCATATGACGATTTTGAATGAGTAGCTTCTAACGTGGAATTTTATGCCGTTGGCGAAGTGCACTACTGCGTATACTACTGATTTCGTAAGGGAAATAGCATGACTCCGCTCCTTAGGCCTTCAGTTTATTGCTCACCTATTCGGTGGTAATATTGACAAACTCAACGACCATATGTCAAGCGCCAAGGGGTTAGAATCTTTCATCACTTATTCAATGAAAATTAAAAAGAAAAGCACACACACACTACTTACTTGAGTAGTATTTTTACAACTTCTACATTCATAAGTTTTATTACGTTGATGCGCGATTGCAATGAGACCGCATAAATTACACACATACACTTGATATGGATCACTGGCAAAAAATAAACGTTCACGTAGAAATTGTGCTGCACCATGAGCTATTTGACAATCACGTTCCATTTCACCGAAACGTAAACCACCATCACGACTACGACCTTCCATTGGTTGACGATTTAATATTTGTACTGGACCACGTGAACGACTATGAATTTTATCATCAACCATATGTTTTAAACGTTGATAATAAGTTGGTCCTAAGAAAATTTGTGAATTTAATTTACGTCCAGTAAATCCATTATACATTATTTCATTACCAGTATGTTGATAACCATATTCTTGTAAAAGTAATGAAATTTTACGTACGTTGACAGCATCATTAAATGGTGTGGCATCACCAATTTCACCTTTGTTTGCACTAACTTTACCCTAAAACAACAAAGAACAAAAAACAACCCAATGCGTAAATATTAGCAGGTGATGAATCAAACATGGAATTGATAATGTATGACTAGAGACTTTAAAAACTACGCCTGGAGCCGTGTTCTAGGGTTACTGCCGGTCCCAAGGCCGGATAAAAAAGGAGGGTTCGATATTGGGGGCGAGCGACCCCATCGCGTAGAAAGCCACCTCGCCTAAAAAACGGTCGGTGGCCTATGCTCCACTTAGAGTAACAGGGGTGATCCGAAGAGACTTTAGAAAGATTTATTTCCAGTGTGGTGGATACTACTCGCAACATGGCGTACAAGTAGTATGGTCCAAATGTATAGCGCGATCAAAGTGTTTTGAAGACCAGAAGATATCTAATAATTTGTTTGTTTCGCAAATGGAAGTCTTAAGAGGAGGCGTACACATTTTCCTAGTAAACTGCATCTCCTTTTAAAGCTATCACTCATTCTCTCTGGTCTTAACGTCTTCGTTCATTACAATAAGCGAAGCTAAACCAAAACTTGACACCAGTAGCCCATGACAATCAGACTGAGCCATGTCTCATAGATGTAGACTAGCTTGGTTAGGGTCCTCATGATAATGGTTAGAGACTTTGCAAACAATTTTAAGCCATGTTATTTTAATGACATAGATGCATCCATCCATTTGTATTCTCACATATTATAAGCTTCTGAATTTATCTTCAATCCCTAATCTTTCCAATTACTACCATTACTGTTACTATCTCTATTAATCTGGAATATTTTGGCCTGCCTGACATTTCATTTCCTCAACTAATCGGGTATAGTGCCTGGAACTACATTGGTAATGACTGACTGATTGATTTACAAACTTATTAGTAATGAGACAATATCTGAATTATGTTGAGTTGAAGTTATTAGTTTAGCTGACAACATTTTATTCTAATAACTGGGAATAATCTTTCAAACTGTAATTAAAAACTTAAGTGTTTCGGCTACTAAAAACAGCTTGAAGAGAACTGTAATAAAAAGTCGCCGTTGTACAATCAATAAAAACTTGATTAACCTCATTGAAATTCAGAAGAATCCTGGCCAATTATATTGCTTTTATTTATACATGTAAACATCGATATAGAGAAGCCCCAAAGTACTGATGTGCCACATAAATCATTGAATGTGTGCGTGAGTTAAAGTACTACTGGGGTTCTCATACTGAAGCAGATGGTTCCCTTAGAGGTCACTCTTCGAGCTTTTCGTATACAGGTCTAATCCGAAAGGTAGTAGTGGAGCAACGTTCGGACATTCAGCGTCATGGTAGCCGGTGATAACTAATGGGTTTATTTACCATTCAGGATCGTGGAGTCAACGTGTAGCATTGGTTTAGAATGAAAGTTTTCCGACTGAACTAGATAGACTACTCGTAGTCACCAACTTGGTTTTATTGCTGAACATTCGCCGTTCGTCCTCTCAAGTTGGTAAACAACACCTCTACCATGAAGAGACAGTGAGTGGGACTTCTTTGGCCAACGATAAGTATATTTACCATTTATTTACTCAGGATTGTGGAGTTGATGTGTCCCACTGGTTTAGAACGAGGGTTTTCCATTTGAATTACGTGGATCTTGTTTACTGACCAACCGGTTCACGTTCCGTCGGACACTCGCTTTTCGTCCTATCAATCTTGTAAACAACACGTGTGGCCATATCAGACCATTTGGAGAGGGAGAGAAGACTTTGCTCACTCTTAATCATATCAGGGTATTCGCATCAAAATCATTCTTGAAACATGACAAAGGTTATATAAACATTCAACGCTGAGCAAAGCTTATAAACGGCTTTGTATTTTAAATGACTTGATGATTCCTAAGAGACGTGACGCTAAAACTTCCTGCCCTCAAAAGAAATCAATACGACGAGATTCAAACCTGTCTTACTTACTTACTTACGCTTGTTACCCCCAATGGAGCATAGGCCGCCCACCAGTTTTCTCCAACCAACTCTGTCCTGGGCTTCCCTCTCAAGTTCTGTCCAATGGTTGTTCGTTTCTTTCATATCTTTCTCTATTTCTCGGCGTAATGTGTTCCTTGGCCTTCCTCTTTTCCTTTGACCTTCAGGGTTTCATGTGAAGGCTTGTCTCGTGACGCAGTTCGGTGGTTTTCTTAGTGTGTGTCCTATCCACTTCTTCCTGATTTCCTCCTCCACTGGAATCTGGTTTGTTCTCTCCCACAGGACGATGTTGCTGATGGTGTCTGGCCAACGAATCCGTAGACAATTGTTAATAAACACTTGTATCTTCTGGATGATGGCTTTGGTAGTTCTCCAAGTCACCGCTTCATACATTAGAACTGTCTTGACATTTGTATTGAAAATCCTGATTTTGGTTTTGGTTGAAAGTTGTTTGGAGTTCCAGATATTTTTCAACTGTAGAAATGCAGCCCTTGCTTTGCCAATCCGCGCCCTCACATCTGCATCCGATCCACCTTTCTCGTCGATGATGCTGCCCAGATATGTAAATGTGTTAACGTCCTCCAAGGCATCTCCATCATGAGATTCAAACCTGTCGCCCGTCATTAATTATCATTACTAACTTACAAAAAAAGATATCTATCATAAATAATTTACAATTAAAGAATCATTCTTACCTGTAAACATTCAATTAAATGTCCAATAGTCATTCGACTAGGTATAGCATGTGGATTAATAATAATATCTGGTGTAATTCCTTCACACGTGAATGGCATATCCTCTTGACGATAACGAATTCCACATGTACCTTTTTGTCCATGTCGACTAGCAAATTTATCACCAACTTGTGGTGCTTTTGTAGTACGTACACGTACTTTACAAAATTTATTACCCTCATTATTCCATGTAACCATAACTTGATCAACTATGCCATATTCACTACGACGCATAAATACACTAGCATCACGTTTAGTGTATCTACGTTGACCACCTTCTGTCTAGATTATAAATGAGAATAGTACAAACGAGAAATTACATTGAGTAAGGAAAAAAAACACTTTACATGTGTATGTATGACAGCTTATTGTAAGATTACGATTAGAAACATGGGAGCACTGAACGGCCGTCTTGTCCTGGTATGTGACTCATTAGTAATGCAAAGCCACGAATTCTGTTGCTCGTAGGATCTTGCGCGCGAACACTCAACCTCTAAACCACTGGGGGGCCAGCATCCAACGGTGTTAATTAATGTCTAACTCTAATCAATCTAAGGATTTCGCGCAACCTCACCCATTGTCTTCGGTAGTTACTGCCTACACAGCCGACAGGGTTGAGCTCCACTGGTCAGATATGTAAAATTAACTACGACATGAAGACAGATTTAAGACTTACAGCAGTATCATATGGAATAAATCGGAAAAAAAAGAACGGGGCAACACTAACGGTGCTACAATCCAATATGCCAAGATGAAAATCAACACACCACACACTAACATTCTGAAACCATGAATCAATCAATGTTAGATCACCATTAGAAACCTGGAACCACTGGACGGCCGTTTCGTCCTGGTAAGGAACTCCTCAGTAGTGCTCATCCACGACCCCTGCACCCCGCAGGATTCGAACCCAGGACCTCCGGTAATGTGCGCGAAACGGCCGTCCAGTGGTTCCAGGTTTCTAATGGTGATCTAACATTGATCGATTCATGGTTTCAAAATGTGTAACTTACCAATCTTCACAACCCCATAACACTAATATTCAACACTCAGAAAAATAATGCTGAATATATTGATAAACTCATTAAAACACATGAGAGAACATTACAGTACAGTAACTTAAACTACACACAAACAGACAAATTGAAAGATGATGGAAATCTTGAACTCGTGGTTCCCAATTTATGAGAATACTATGGTATTCACAAATTTCTCATACTAGTAATAATCATGTACTTATTAGTGGACTAGTTTGAAGATGTACCTGCTGGAGTCCTAGTGAACAGCTGTGATCAATTGATGTCAGATGTGAGACAGTTAGTTACCTACCGCAGGGAATGGATGATAGACGGAGTTGCACAAAAGATCATGGATTAATTGAAGCCGACTCAGTGGTCTTAGAGATTAAGCGTTCACGCTTGAGACCAAAGGTCCTGACTTGTGGAATACACACTGCTAAGGTGTCTAACACTAAGATAAGACGATCGCTCAGCACTTCGATGTTCTTAAATGACGGTCTAGCTCTACGACCAGCCGTGATTTCAACTGTGAAAATCATTCATATTACAAACAAAAGACAAACTGAATAAGCCTTTTTATAAAACAGATGAGAATTTGTTTTGGGACAGCCTGAAAAAAGAATTCAACACATCTCTTACCAACAATGCAAGTTAATAAGTAGGTGAGTACACACGGACACACTCACATACACAGTCTACTTAATGGACAATAGAGAGAGAGAGAGAGAGAGAGAGAAAATACACAAACACACATCTCATGAGAATACTGAAAAGAAAAAAAATAAAGAGAAAAGCCTAGACTACACAGAATGGTACCTACCTTTGTACAGACACACAAAAAAACAATGATAAAATTTTTATTCTTGATTTAAGCAGAAAAAAAGAGAAAACTTGAATGAAATAAAATGACTCATGACATATATTATATAGTTGCACTCTATGAAAAATGACTCACAACACTACAGTACACTAAAATGACAGTAATAGTAGTAATAAGAATAATAATAATAGTAATCAGAGTTAGAGATAAAACACAACACAATAGGTTATGAAGGGAAAAGAAGATGTGCATGTGCATGAGTGTGTGTGTGTATGTGTGTAGGTGTGTAGTCCATGTTGAATTGTTTGTTCTCTTGTTCATGTGAATTGACAAGTACAAAATTATTCATCTAACTGAATGAATGTTTCTTTTGTGTTTTGTATGAAGAAAAAATTCATAGTCACAATGAGAATTAATATTATTAGTAGTAGTATATAGTGGGAGTAAATGAAAAAATGAGTATTTTTCTTCGCTCTCCTATCATATATTATTTATTTGCATGACATAAGTGACAACAGCATGAATAAGATGACACTAGGATGTGCGTGAAAAGATAGTCAATATCAGCTGGAATTCTTTTATAATAGAGGACGACAGCTTATAGATTCGTTTTAAGTGAGGACCGGTGTCAGGCAATGTCACTCGCTTACACTCACTCTTTTTCCTGATGGTCGGGACTAGATTATGAAGATGTTATTAACATCTCAAGGGAAGCACGGGATACAGTGGACAATTCGGATGCAGCTGGATGACTTACATATCACAGATGATCTAACCCTTTTATCCTATACACAACAACTAATATGAGGTGAAAACGGACAGTGTACCAGCAGCCTCAGCAGCAGTAGGTCCCAACATGCATCAACCAAAACAGACTTGACAAAGATGCCTTGGAAGATTCAGAAACCTTTACATATCTGAGCAGCATCATTGATGAGCAAGGTGGACCTGATGAAGCTGTAAGCACGGATTGACAAAACAACGGCGGTATTTATATAGTTAGAGAACATTTGAAATTGAAATCAACTGTCAGCCAACAACCAAAGTCACAGTTTTTAACACAAATTGTCAAGACAGTTCCACAGTCTGGAATGGAAAGTTGTAGAATTACGAAAGCCATCATCCACAACACAGAGGTGTCTACGCAATATACTGACGATCCGTTGGTCAAACATCATCATCAACAACCTACTGTGGGAGAGAACAAACCAGATTCCAACAGAGGAAAACATTATGAGAAGGCGCTCCAGGTGGATACAATACACATTGAGGAATGCATCCGACAGATTTACACGACAAGCTATCACACTTGGAAACCTCAAGGCCACAGAAAAAGTAGTAGAATAATGAACATATTACAATGAGAATTAGAAGTGGATGCGAAAAGAATGAACAGCAATTACGGTAAAACTGGAAAAGAAGTCCCAGGACAGAGTAGGTTGTAAGTACGTAAATAAATAAATAAGTAGATGAAATCAGTGATAGGTGAAACTTTATCCATTCTATAAAACTGCCAATAATATTATTAGTAGTAGTAGTGTGGTGCGAGCTACTTATAAGTAGTATATGACGTGAGTGTCAACGTAATGTCTGGCAGCAGAAGATGGGGGAAGATCAAGAAAGGAAGAGTTAGAACACAATGGAATTTGTATGAAACGCATGAATAGTGACAATGGATTGATGTTGTTTGCAACAGGAACAGTCCAGTTCGATATGATGATGAACTGATATTTTGCAAATTAACGATTTACGATATGGTTTTCCTATTTTACTGAGTAACTCTGTAATGTTCGTTAAATACAATCCGGTTGCCCCACCAGGGTTCTCGTTCACTACAGTAGTACTATTGTCATACTCAAAGCGTGTGCTCCATGATCCGATGTGTTGTCCTGTATATGAATCATTTCATGTTATATATAGTCTATTGAAAGTTTAGGCATTTCACAAAACAAATGTATCTTACTGAATAGTATTTCTCTATACATACATTCGCAATGTCCGAATCAATGAAGTGTTGGTACTACTTAGTAGTGTGTAACCATGATTATGTCAAGGATGGAATCTAAGATATATTAGGTCTTGCTTGTACAATAGATCGCCACTGGATTGCAATTTAATGTTACACATATTTACAACTTTGTTGAAGAGTCTTGTCTAAGACATGAAACAGACGCTCAGTCGTCTTTAGTTTCTAATAATCCCCCAATTGTGATACATACATACAATCTGGATTTGACTTATTACTACACTACTACTGTAGTGAATGAGAACACAGGTGGGGCAACCGAATTGTATTTAGCGAAAATTACAGAGTTACTCAGTAAAATCGGAAAACCATATCGTAAATCGTTCATTTGCAAAAGATCAGTTCATCTTATCGAACTGGACTGTTCCTGTTGCAAAACATCACTCCATTGTCACTATTCATGCGTTTCATACAAATTCCATTGTTTTCTAACTCTTCCTTTCTTGATCTTCCCCCCATATTATGCTACCTGACTTTACGTTGACACACATCATATACTACTTATAAGTAGTTCGCACCACAGCACCACACTACTAGTATTACAATTACAGTTGGGTTAGAAGAGTGTAAGGAAGGGGATCTGAAGATGATCGGATCAAAACCTGTCGTAAATTCATGAAGTTACTCAATCAGTCACAGATCAACATAAAATCTGGTACATATATGTGTATAGGTTCAGTATGCCAGAGCAGTGGAATAAAGGTTATAAGAACGTGCATATGTACTTACTTACTTACTTACTTTCGCCTGTTACCCCCAATGGAGCATAGGCCGCCCACCAGTTTTCTCCAACCAACTCTGTCCTGGGCTTCTTCCTCCAGTTCTGTCCAATGTTTGTTCATTCCTCTCATATCTTTCTCTATTTCTCGGCGTAGTGTGTTCCTTGGCCTTCCTCTTTTCCTTTTGCCTTGAGGGTTCCATGTGAGGGCTTGTCTCGTGACGCAGTTAGGTGCTTTTCGTAGAGTGTGTCCTATCCACTTCCACCGCTTCTTCCTGATTTCCTCTTCCACTGGAATCTGACTTGTTCTCTCCCACAGTTCGTTGTTGCTGATGGTGTCTGGCCAACGAATACGAAGTATTTTACGTAGACAGCTGTTAATAAACACTTGTATCCTCTGGATGATGGCTTTGGTAGTTCTCCATGTTTCCGCTCCATACATTAGAACTGTCTTGACATTTGTATTGAAAATCCTTATTTTGGTGTTGATTGATATCTGTTTGGAGTTCCAGATATTTTTCAACTGTAGAAATGCAGCCCTCGCTTTGCCAATCCGTGCCCTCACATCTGCATCCGATCCACCTTGATTGTCGATGATGCTGCCCAGATATGTAAAGGTGTTAACGTCCTCCAAGGCATCTCCATCAAGAGTGATTTGATTGGTGCATGTTGTGTTGCATCGGAGAATTTTGCTCTTTCCTTTATGTATGTTGAGACCTACTGCTGCAGAGGCTGCTGCTACACTCGTCGTCTTCTCTTGCATTTGTTGTTGAGTGTGCGATAGAAGAGCCAGATCATCTGCGAAGTCCAGATCGTCCAGCTGCGTCCTAACTGTCCAGTTGATACCGTGCTTCCCTCCAGCTGTTGACGTTTTCATAATCCAGTCGATCACCAGGAGAAAGAGGAAGGGTGAAAGTAAGCAACCTTGCCTGACACCGGTCTTTACCTCGAAAGAGTCGGTTAGCTGTCCTCCGTGCACGATTTTGCAGTTGAATCCATCATAAGAGTTCCGTATGATGTTAACTATTTTCTCAGGCACACCGTAGTGTCGAAGAAGCCTCCACAGTGTTTTCCTATCCACGCTATCGAATGCTTTCTCGTAGTCGATGAAGTTGATGTAGAGTGGTGAGTTCCATTCAATTGATTGTTCCACAATGATCCGTAATGTAGCAATTTGGTCAGTACACGATCGATCCTTCCGAAATCCGGCCTGTTGATCTCGAAGTTGGGAATCTACGAAGTCCTTCATTCTGTTTAACAATACCCTGTTGAAGACTTTGCCTGGTATTGAAAGAAGAGTGATGCCTCTGTAGTTTTCACACTTGCTGAGGTCGCCTTTCTTTGGTATTTTGATCAGGTATCCTTCCTTCCAGTCTGATGGTACTTGTTCCTCATCCCAAATCTTCTTGAAGAGGATGTGAAATATTTTCGCGGTTGCTTCTACATCTGCTTTCATTGCCTCTGCTGGAATGTTGTCTGGTCCTGCTGCTTTGCCGTTCTTGATTTGTCTGATGGCCATACTGATCTCCTCAATCGTAGGTGCGCCAATATTAATTGGGAGGTCCGTGGATGCTGCTTCGATGTTGGGTGTCTTCAGAGAAGCTGGTCGATTTAGGAGTTCCTTAAAGTGCTCTACCCACCTATTTCGCTGTTGTTCAGTGTTGCTGATTACTTTGCCTTCCTTGTTTTTCACTGGTCGTTCTGGTTTACGATAGTTCCCGGCGAGCTTCTTTGTAGTTTCATACAATTGTCTCAAGTTTCCGTCTCTTGCAGCCTTTTCCGCCGTCGTTGCTAGATCTTCCACGTATTTTCGTTTGTCAGCTCTGATGCTCTTCTTCACTTCCCTGTTTGCTTCTGTGTATGCAGCTTGTGCGGTAACTTTCTCCGCTCTTGTTCGGCTGACATTGATTGCTGCTTTCTTGTTCCTCCTTTCTTCAATTTTTGCGAGAGTATCAACAGAGATCCATTCCTTATGATGCTGCTTCTTGCGACCAAGGACCTCCTGACATGTTGAAGTGATTGCCTCCTTAATCCCTTTCCAATTGTTCTCCAATGTTCTGTCCTCTCCATTGTGTAGATCCTGTAAGGCCTGGAACCTATTGGTGAGGGCTATCTTGAATTCGTTGAGCTTTACAGTATCCCGAAGAAAGGCCGTATTAAACTTGTGTGATGTTGTCTGTCCCGTTGTCCAGTGCTTCTTTAGTTTCAGTTTCATTTTGGCGATTAGCAAATGGTGATCTGAGGCTACATCAGCTCCTCTCCTGGTTCTCACATCCTCCATAGTCCTTCTGAACGTTTTGTTGATACAGATATGATCAATCTGGTTTTGAGTAGTGTGATCCGGTGAAATCCATGTGGCTTTGTGAATGCGTTTGTGCGGGAATATTGTGCCACCGATGACCAGTTTGTTGAAGGCACATAGGTTTGCAAATCTCTCACCGTTTTCGTTCCTTTCTCCCAGTCCATGTCGTCCCATGATGTCTTCATATCCAGTGTTGTCCATTCCAACCTTGGCATTCAGGTCTCCCATAAGAATCGTCAAATCCTTTGGTGAACATTTATCGACGATTGACTGCAGCCTTTCGTAGAATTGATCTTTAACGTCGTCATTGTAGTCATTGGTAGGTGTATAACATTGGATGACGTTCATTGTAATGTCCTCTTTCTTTGTTTTGAAGGATGCTTTAATGATCCTGGGTCCATGAGATTCCCATCCTATTAGTGCCTTTTGTGCATGTTTGGACAGCATCAATGCAACTCCTTGTGTATGTGAAGCATTTTCCTCTTCATGACCAGAGTATAACAGCAGTTCCCCTGAAGCTAGTCTCAGTTGTCCTACTTGTGTCCAATGTGTTTCACTGATTCCAAGCACCTCGAGGTTGTATCTTCTCATTTCTGCCGCAACTTGAAATAGTCTTCCAGTCTCCCACAATGTACGAACGTTCCATGTACCTAAAAAAATGGTTGCTCTGGTTGTCAGAAGAGGCATCAGCCCCGTGACTTCCGAGGGAACTCGGCTTTCATCACGCGACGTCATAATTCTTCCTCCAACTCCCAGGGCAGAGTTAAAATGGTTTGAATTATTTTTTCTGGTTAGCGTTTTTTTGGCAAGTTAGTTTTTGACGGAATGGGGTCGCCAACCCCATGTCCAACCCTCCTCCTTTATCCGGGCTTGGGACCGGCAGTAGCCCCGAAGGTTCTACTGGCGGAGTTGTGCATATGTACATGAATGTATTTTAGTGGCTGTGTTAAATTCAAAGTAGCGCCCACCAATTAAGTGCCCCGTGACCCGACTGCAATTTGTACGAACGTTCGGGTATGCGATGAATTAAATCTTCCCTTCAATTTCCGTATATCATTCTTAGACAAACCCTGTTTGTGCAACGGCGATAATAAGAAGACAAATACACTTTTTCGGATGAATGTATCTCAGGCATTCATTTGAACAGATAGACGAAAAGTAAAGCGAAATGAAGTGGAAAAGAAGCCGACTGAATGTGATGAGGCATTTATGGTCAGACAAAATAGACAGACAGACAGATACAACACAGAACTTCGTACATAAGTACATCAGTTCAGGTTGCCATACCACGTCAGCACAGAGATGTAACTGTCAGTTCAAATCTAAGAGTGATGGCGACAGTAGAATTATTAGCGGCACTGGAGAAGATTAGGGAGCAAAGATATGATTCGAGAAGTGTAATTCAGCGAGATAAATTTAGGAGAAAGTTAGAGATTATGGGGAATTCAGAAGGTTACAATTAAAAAGCACACAAGGTCGAAAGACTTGTGAGTAACTTGAGAAGAATGGATTAATCAATCTATTCAAAGGCTCGACAGTATCTACGCCACTGCGACTAATTCTGCGCTACATCACTTCAAGTTTTCAGCCATTTATCTGGAAAATATCACAGAACCTAACCTAAGTAGTCAGCACTTGCCAACAAAGGTTAGACTAGTGGCCAATCACTTGATAGAACGATGGTACGTGCCTAGTCGTTTCTAATTATCACAAATACTGTTAGTACCTCAACTACTACACTATGATTCACCTGGACAACTTCCATCTGTTTATACTAATGGGTTAGCGTTTTTTAGCAAGGTTATTTTCTACGGGATGAGGTTGCTAACTCCATATATATGCAGCGGGAACTTGGAGAAGTACGACAACTATCCATTTAAAAGATACAAGTATTTATAAATAGTTTTCTACGCTAGATATTCTAGATCCATTGGCTGGACACTATTAGCGACAACCTACTATAACAAAGAATAAACCAAATTCTAATTGAGTAAGAAATTAGGAAAATACACTGAAGGTGGATATGACACACATCAAACTGCGTGTCACGAGGCAAGTTCACACCTAGAATCATCAAGACAAGAAGACCAAAGAACACATTATGCCAAAAGTTGAAGACAGACAATGAATAGCACTTGAAAACAATTGGAAAACACAAACTAGGACAAAGGTACTTAGAGATGGCTAGTGATTGGTTTATGCTTTCTCATAAAAGGACAACAAAACGTAAGTAAATGATGCTTGAATCAATCAATAAATACACTGATTGAACTTACTTCATCTTCATTCTCTGGTAAAGTGATTGTTTTCCCAATTAATACATCATCACCAGATACTCTAGTGCCTGGAGCAATTAAACCATCATCATCTAATTTATCATAAATAGCATGACGCATTCCTTGACAATTTTGTGGATTTGGTTTTTCAAATATTTCTTCTAAATCTGCAATACCATGACGAATTTCTTGATCTTTATAAGTACGATAAAATTCTGAACGGAAGAAACCACGTTGTATAGCACTTTCATTGATTATGACAGAATCTTCTTGATTATAACCGGTATATGTGGCTATTGCAACAATTGCATTAATACCTTAATATTAAAATAAATAAATAATCATGATAATTATAGGGAATGAAGTAGTTGACTGTGTTTACTGCTTTACTTATCTCAGAAATCTCACTAACCTTGATGACCTGGTGCGTAAAGAAATCTCAGCATAGATAGACAGAAGGCTCGATTGCCTTTTTGCCAACTTGCGTAACTTATGGCGTAGGCGAGATATGCGTTCGCTAACCAAAGGACAAGTCTACTACGCAGTGATTCGCACCGCGTCCTACTCTATGGGTGTGAAACATAGCCAGTAAGAGTACAGAATATTCATAGGTTACTAGTCATCGATCGTAGGTATCTTTGAAGAATTGCTCGTACATCATGGGACCATCGAATAAGCAATGCTGATGGTAAGAAAAGGGTACTAGGTAAGCGTAGCAAATTAATTGATAAAGTAGTGAATCTTCATCAGTTAGGGCGGCTGAGACTGCCCCGATGAGCGATGTTAGGGTAGGCTGGAAGAAAGCTAGGTTCGGCCAAACCAAAACATGGTACAAATCCATGAAGTCACTGACAAACGGACTGTTTCATGTTGGCAAATGTAGACTGCTTGGCTGGAGTTCGCAAGACGATAGTAAATTTGAAGCTTTGTCAATCTGTCCAAAGGAAGATTGAATTTCAATCTAAATAATCAATCGATCATTGTTAGACCACCAGTCGAAACCTCGAGACACTAGACGGCGTTTCGTTCTGCTGTGGGTCTGATCAGCAGTGAGCATCCACGACCCCCGCTAGCGGGAATCAAACCCAAAACCTCCGGTCTCGGGCGCGAACGCCTAACATATAGACAACTGAGTCGGCATCCAACAGGGTTATCATCTAGGTTTGATCAATCTAACGTATTGCGCAACCCCACCCAATGTCTTCGGTAGGTAACTGCCTACACCCAACAGGTTTGAACTCCACTGGTTACGATTTAACCAATCAATTTTAACTGGATAAATATATCCCCGATGTGGCGATGTTTACATACACACAGAACAGGAATGTATATTCATAAATAAGTATTTATGTAATATTATTCGGTAGCCAAATAAAATTTTTCTTCCACTCTTGCCTTTCCGCCGAATCAGTCAGTTTGGGGGGGGGAGATGATTAGCACGTATTAAAGTTCAAATCTCGCACACTGGTCATATTAATAATTATCAATCTTGTAAAACTACCGAAAAGCGTAAAAGTACCAATATAAAAGCAATAATAACAACATAAATCACTCACCTGCTGGAAGTTCTCTAAATCGTAAATACTCCATTGAACGTGTAGCAACTAATGGTTTTTGTGGATAATATAATACATTAGCTAATGTATCCATTCTTGTATGAAAATTACTAATATACACACCCATAGCTTGTTTACCCATAGCACTTTGATATGTATTCCTAGGTGATTGATTATGATCAGGAAATGGTATAATACTAGCGCATATACCTAATATCATACTTGGATGAATTTCACAATGTGTATGTGTTTTACAATAATTCACAGCAGCTTGCATTTCTGCTGGACCCATAGCAATCATTACAGTTTCTTCTTCTAATGTATCAATATATTCAACTACACCACTGAGTACAAGATCTTGCCAACTAAATTTATAAAAAAAATAATCATAATGACAAAATTTTATGAATAATGTGAATTTAATTAATTGAATAAACTGTGTCATTTTCATTTGTGATCAAAAAAAATTATAATAAATACGCCATATAATGAATTGCGTAGATATATGTATGTATATTAGTCAAAATTATCATACCATATGTTATATATACAGAGATATTTTTTTTGCGTGAAAGATCATATATAGAATTCATGATATAATATCAGTTAGATACAAAGTAAAACTTCGTATGTGCTGTACGAACATTAGTTCAATTTGTCATATCACTTATAGCACATCAGAGACGCAATTTTCAATTTAGTAGAGGTAGTAGATGTATTAGCAGTAATCAAAAAGATAGAAGATTAGGATGTGAGAGAACACAAAGAATGGATTCACCTGCGCCATTGCAAACAGTATTGAGCCATGTCATTCAACGTCTCTAACCATCGATTACTATCATCTCGTGGACACCAAAACCAGGTAGTCTACACTTAACGACATAGCTCAGTCCATTTATCTGGGACTTCATGGATTTGTGACATGCTTTTTGATTTCACCATTACTAGCTTTCTTCCAGTCTACTCCTACACAGGACAACATCGTTCGCTGAAATAAAAGGTGGTTACGCATAGCTCAACCGTCTCAACTGATGAAGATTCACTACTTCATCAATCGATTCGCCACCTTTACCTAGTATCCAGTTTCCTAACAACAGCATTGCTTACTCCATGGTCCCAAGACATAGGAGCAATGATTCAAAGACACCGATCATGGAATACTAATGACCTACGAGTATCCGCCTACCTTAAAGCACATCTTTTACACCCGTAAATTAGTAGGACGGAGCGAACTCCTGTGCAGTAAACTTGAAAGCATTTGGTATGGGACAGAAAAACGAAAGCTAACTCCCAGGCAGGAAGAATGGCTCTCACAAAATACTGTACACGTAGAACAAGTGTATACAAAAACAACGCCCTAATATTATGCAACGTATTTATCAAGTAAAAGTGTAATATACGAGCAGTCAAAACCAGATGGAGATTCGGAGAAGACTCAATATGTTTACGAAATATGCATAGATAGTTTTTAATTATCTACTTACAATCAAAGCAGGTCATCAACTGTCTTCTCTCACTTTTCGTTTGCTCTTCAAAATACTCTTCTGATATCGCCCTATATTTTGATCGCCTAACACTCCTTTCTCTGTTGATAACCTGTAGGCGACGCTCTGCTGAATACTGCTTAAATGTCAGTTTGTAAGCAATGTCCATTACATAGGTTAATATAGTTAGCTTTGAAGTAAACGTTTTTATTTATGCGAGAGCGTGTTATTACCAACTTAATTAACTGTTTAAACTGAACCATATGAAGGAAGTTTTAAACCCGCATTCTATTAATGATTGGAAATCGACTTTGTTTTCTTTACACCTTAAATTATTGGCTCTATAATGTGTCAATCTGAGTTTTGCGTCATGCTTAAATGTGATTTATGCAAGAAACATTTTTATTATTCCTTCAAGTCTTTGGATAAAAGAAGGTAAATTTTAAAGAGAAACTGTGAATTATCAATTCATAAGTCAAAAGCAAGTTGAAATAAAGTTAGGAACGGTCAAACAAAGAAACTGACAACTACCGGTTTAAACAACACACATTGAGAATTGATCGATAGTTGAAACTGGAGCAGTAATTTTACTATCCATATAAGGACTGGAAACTAATTACTGGAGTGCAGCAGTTACATTTGCTATCTCTCCTTCTATATCTTCAATGTAAATATCATTCCATATCTGTCTTTACTTTAATCGCATTCCCATCGTCTGAATCAGATCTTTTGTGTTATATTATTTCCTTACCGTAAATTAGTTAATGTCTAACCAAAACAATCCATAAATTTAGGCGTGAAATTATTTTTTTTCCCATATAACTGTGTTGTTACTTATGAGTAGCAAACTTTTATTGGCATAATTTCTTTCATGTATTTTAACTGCTTGATCGTAAATTAAGTGTTCCGCTATTGTGAAAATTTTTGAGTTACTTTTTGAAATCATGAATTCATCATTGTTAGACCAGCATTAGAAACCTAGAAGCACTAGACGGCTGGTTTATCTTAGTAAGGGACTCATCAGCAGTGCGTAGTTGTGACTCCAGCTCACGAAAATCGAGGAGTCCAGTGCTGTCAGGTTTCCAATGATGATGAGCCATACGGAAATGGTCATTGTTCAGTATACTTATCTGTGCCGAAAGTTGACTGCTATCACTACAGTTATCACTTTAAATATTAGTGTTTTGTTGATCTAAACTGTTGTAGAATAATTTATTATTTATAAACATATTCCTGCATAAGTATACTGAAAAATCAAGATAATCCTTTGACTGTAATCGACCTTGAGTGAGTTCTTGCCAAGAATCTAACAGTAAGTACTTAATTTTCAAGGAATCAATAGGATTGTAACACCATAGAAATCATTTATTTAACAAATGGTTGACGGTTTTCAAAAGATTATAAGGGTAAGAGGTAAGACAATTTAACACTAACAGGTGAATTCCAGGAATATTAAACTAGGCGTACATTTTCGTAATTATTTGCTAAGTTTAGAAACTTCAAAACAAATCCCACTCTAGTTGATTGGCAAAATTTAGTTGATGATAACGTATACAGAAAAGGAGTAGTGTGATATGATATCAATCATTTCAACTAACTTTAGCTTTGGTAAACGGAGTGAAAAATTCTATTTCCATGTATGAATAACAAAACAAAAAGCAACACAGCATAGAATTGTTGTGTTTTTTTTGTCATTACCTGTAACGATTATACGCTTTATCTTTTAAAAGTTCAATATGACTACGTTTTAACAGTAGTTTGCCTTTTTCAACAATTACCAATGGACGACATATACGACCAGCATCTGTATAAATTCGTATCTCTTGATCACGATAATCTCGTATCATACTGACTTCACTGACAATGACATCAACTTGACGACGTAGTTTACGTAGAGTACCCATTAGATGATCTGGTGAACTATGTATACCGACCCAACAACCATTGACAAATATTTTACAAGTCCTAGGGATTAAACACAAAATTAAATTAAAAACATTTAAATATGAACAACAACAACAAGAAGTTGAAATGACGTGTTAAACTCAGCTACAACGTAGAACTTCGTAAGTACATACATCAGTGCAAGTTGCCATACCACATTAGCACAGAAAGATCGAATTGTAAATTCAAATCCCATAGAGGTTCTGGCAGTATTAGCGGTAATCGAGAAGATATTATTCAAGAAGTATAATTCAATGAAATAAATTTTAAAAAGAGTAAAATGTTCATGAGGAATTCAGAATTAGAGAAGACGAAGAATGAATGTACCTGTAACATTGCATATGATTTTGAGCCCTGTCATTCAAAGTCTCTAACTAACGGTTACTATTGTCTTGCGGGCCCCAACCAGTTAGTCTACAGTTACTAACATGGCTCAGTCCAGTTGACAATGGCTTTATGTACTGATGCCATGTTTCGTTTGGCCACCCCTAGATTTCTTCCCCCCTCAATCAATCAGTCAATCAATAGCAACGTAAAAGTACGTACGTACGTACATCAGTTCAGGTTTCCATACCACATTAGCACACAGACGCAATTGTCGATCCAAATCTCATAGTGGTAGAGGTAGTAAAAGTATTAGCAGTAATCGGAGTGATTAGTATTAGAAGATATTATTCAAGAAGTAGAATCTAGTGAAACAAACTTAAAAAGATAAAGTGATGAAGAATTAAAAAGTATAGGATTTGAGAGAACACAAAGAATGAATTCACTTATGCAATTGCAGACGGTTTTGAGCCATTTCATACAGGGTCTGTAACCATCAATTATTATTTTCTCGCGGACCCCAACCAGGTAGTCGACAATTACCGACATGGCTAAGTCCACTCGTCAATGACTTCATGGATTTGTGCCATGTTTTGGTTTGGCCGCCCCTACTCCAACAGTAGACAGCATAGCCCATCAAAGTAGTCGGTGGTTCTGTGTAATACATGCCCCAACCACCTCAATGGATGAGGATTCACTACTTAATCAACTGATTTCCCATCTTTACCTAGTACCCCTTTCCTAACCACAGTATAGTTTACTCGATAGCCCCAGGATATACGAACATTGAATACTAGTAACCTATGAATATGCTCTCATTTTAGTGGCCATGTTTCGCATCCGTATAGTAGGACTGATTAGACTGCTGTAAAGTAGATCTGTCGTTCAATGTGTGCAACTAAACCAACCTATAGAAAATTACTTACTTTCCAATTGCTGAAGGAGCAATTTCTTCCAAATTCTCCATACTCCATTCTTCTAAAAATTCTAAAATAGGTGATGGTTGACTTCCAACAGATATATAAGCCATTAGAGCGAGATTTTTCACTAATCCCACAGCATGACCTTCAGGTGTTTCAGCTGGACAAATCATACCCCATAAAGTGTTATGCAATTGTCTAGGTCTTGCTAATTTTCCATCTCTTCCAATCGGTGAATTAAGTCGCCTTAAATGTGATAACGTGGATGCAAATGTTAAACGATTAAGCACCTAAATAAAATAAAACGAATAAAGGATGTTACATTTATAATTATAAATCTATAGTTACCTGTGAAACACCTGGACGTGCTTGATTCGCTTTTTTCTGATCACCCCAATTACCAGTAGCTAGTGAATATTTTAAACCATCTGTAATAATTTGACTACGAATAGCCAATTCTACATTGAAATCTTTGCCTTTGTCTATGAATTTTTGAGCATATAAACGAATCTCTTTGGTAAGATTTCGAAATAATCCACGAAATAGGAAAGCAAGAAGTGGACCAGCTAAATCTAATCGTTTATTTCCATAATGATCACGATCATCGACATCACGACGTTTTAACGCAGCCAACAATAAACGATGCACCATATAGCCTAAGAAATAAGCTTTACGTGTTTCACAAAAATCCGACACTCCAACATGTGGTAAAGTTTCTTTTTGCAAAATTTCTTTAGCATATTTTATACGTTTTTCTTTTGTGACACCAGGACGAGCACCACGTGAACCAATGAAATTAAGTGCAACTTTTTGTTCCTAAACACCTGGAAATGAGTAAACTATGAAATGGAAACTTACCTGAATTACAAAAGCATCATCTAAAGAAGGTTTAATCATTTCACGCATTTCTGTATCGTCAAAATCATAAATTATATGTTCCAATATATCACGATCAGCGACAAAACCCAATGCACGAAACACAATCAATACTGGAATTTCTTGTTTAATATATGGTAAGATAGCTACAATTCTTTGACCGATAGTAGCTCGTTTACTGCCATCTTTACCACCACGTGCCATCATATTAATCCATAATGTACTAGCTGGCCGTGAACTATGCTCAAGACATGATCGAATTTCTGTCTTATAAGCATATTTACTATCTTTTTGTTTAAAAACATATACTAAAATACAAAAAAAAAAATTCCACATATTAGCTGCTGATCGGTTGGCAATGAAAACAAACCTGTATTTGTAGCCATTTTTTCTTGTGCTATCAAAACTTTCTCAGATCCATTAATGATGAAATATCCACCAGGATCCAAAGGACATTCGTTTAATTCAGCAAGATCACGATCAGTCATTACTGATAGAATACAATATGTAGATCTAAAAATAGGTGAATTCGAAAAACGATGTTATTTTTTTTTTCTATAGAAGAATATTTTACCTTAACATAATTGGAATTTTGCCTATAAACTTCTTCTCTAATGGCTTTTCTTCTTCAATTTCATCACGGATAGTTTTTTTCATTACATCAACGTAAAGTGGCGCTGCATAAGTCAAGTTTCTTAGTCTTGCATCATTGGGTGTCATAGGCACGGATGAGCCATCTTTTTCCCAGTGAGTAGCTTTACTCAAATAGATTTGTTCAAATTTTAGACGATATTGAACCTAGAAAAGAATACATGATGATTATGGGATAACTTACGGGAGTTTCTAAAATTCCACCGCTATGCTGAGCTTCTGCTTGTAACTCAATAATAGGGGAATCTTCAACAATCTTCTGAATGGATGTCTGGATGAATTCATCGAAAGAGTCCAACTGTTGTCTGACTAAGCCTTTTTCATCAAAATAACTGCTTATAACAATCCAACAAGCTTCCTGCCACATATCTGGTGTGATTTCATCATCTTCATTGCCTTGTTCATCTCCGTAAAACTGACGTTCAGGATCATCTTCCTCAAAATCTTCCAGATCCCCTTCAACATAGAACGGATCTAAAAATTGTTAAGAGGTTAAGTCAGTTAGCTCCATTCTTTGCCTTTTCTCATGATTTCACAAGCTCAGGATCTTTTCTTATCCCTTTTGAAATTTATTTTACTGGATTATACTTCTTGAATAATTTCATCGAATTGTAATCTCCATTATCACTAATACTTCTACTACCTCTACTACTATGGGTTTTGAATTGATAATTCGATCTCTGTGTTAATGTGGTATGGCAACTTAGACCAACGTACGTACGTACGTACGTACGAAGTTCTCATTGTAGCTGACTGACTGACTGCCAGTTAGCTCCCGAAAACGTCCCACAAATCCATAATTTAACGGTGTTAAGCTGCAACAATACTATAGGTGCATAACTGGAACAATATGATATTCTTCAACATTAAGAAAATGATATTTAGCCTCGACGTACGGACACACTAACTAAAATATTCTTGAGCGCTTTCTTGATGAAAATAACAATGGTCAACAGATAAGACACCTTAAATCAATATTAGGTATAAGCTAAGTACGTGGAGAAACAGATGAGAACAACTGTGACAGTGATGAAAACATAAACAACACCTAGTCTGAACATGAACAATCTAGAATAATTTATGCTGCTTACTTGAAATACAACTGGTATATGCGAATAATAAACGTCAACTAAGAGTTATTAGATTATATGTAATCGTAACGATCAAAAGCAAGAGAAGTCGATCGAAGGAGAACTTAGAACAACAAGGATATACTTTCCTATAGTACAAAACTTATGACTTAAACTATTATAATCCTGAGTCAACCAAAGATTAGCTCTGCTAATTACAGAACGCCATTTTAACCAAGTCCTCCCAGTGAAATCAGACAAATATACAAACAACGTCAGACGCTACACAAGTGTACACTCCATATAACTGCAACGAGAAGTCTTCAAGATAGGTGGATTTATAGTGACAGTAATATTATTAATGGTGAAAGAACTAAATGTTTTCTTTTTAAATAGGAGGCATGAGTTTTGGGAATGAAAAGCATAGAATACGGAAAATAATGAATAAATGGACAAATCTGTACTACCGCTACGAACTTTGAAAACTGTCAGGCAAAGTTTTCAACTATGAAGCTCGACTTTCACGAACTCTAAGTTAAAAAGTCTGCATTTATCAACACTATCCAGACTAATAACTAATGACTTTATAGATTAGTCTCATATCTTGCTTTAGTCGTGTCTAACCGTTTTTAAACCTAATCCTAATCTGAATAGGCGATGGTGATGAATATGTAGTGTGCTCTACAACTTTAGTCAATAAAGGTTCAGATTACAATTTTTATTTGCTATGCATTGTCTGAGAATTACTCGGCGTTTACATTAAGATGCACAGGCATTCACTAGCACGATGCTTTTTAGCACTAAACATCGCGTCTCAGAAATGTAGAGTATTACAAAGAAATTGATTTGCAGGTAACAAGACATTCATTCATTATCGGTACAAACGGGCACCTAAATATGTATAATATATTACATTCAGAGGTGGTTCTACGCTGAGAGCAATACTAAATACCTTAATTTATGATTATAAGAAGTGGTAGTCGAAAATAGAATCCATGATAAGATTGTGGATGTTTTACAGAGACAGATTAGAAGTAACGTTTGCCTAAGAGAAATAAGTGGGAAATACCGACGTTATAAGTATTGTTAGATTAAAAGTAGAAATTTTCTTAGGCGGTCGTAAACAGATAGATAAGTAGTATGTGCAACAAGGGTTACGACCAATTTCCAGAGGGATTATTTGGTGGAATTAATTGGACTAGACTGAGTAGATAGACAAAACCACGAATTTGAATCATTACGCTATCAACCTATGGTGTGGATTATGTAATAATCAATAAGACTTTTAGCTGGAACTTTTAGAAATCCAAATTAATTATATGAAACAACGAAATTGCTGAAAATTGGTTACGAAACAAATCAGATAAAAAAGCAGAGGGCAAAATTAAAAGGCAAACAGAAACCCTACTATATACTGGTTCCCACACTGTGATCAAACACTAGAACGGATTGCTAAAATAAATGATTTCTATTCCTATAATTAACTCATTCAATGGAAGACCAGACATACACCCCATAGCATACTTTCTCAAGTTCAGTCTCATCAGTAGCTTTAGGGGCAGTATCCAAGAACTAGTGGCACAACATAGAACGGACTGTAAGCACACCTTCTACCCTTTACGAGTTGTTAACATGCGTAATTAACTATCGTCTAAGTTGGTTTAAGTGATCTCCCAGGAGTCTCTCAAGAAGAAATTTAACATATTCTTATGGACTCAAGACAGTATTCCATTACAACCCTATAATACTTTCTTCCGGTTAGATATATCTTGTTTTCTTCCTAGGGACATGGACGATGCAGTATTAGTAAAGACGGAGGTCCGTTAAACAAAAGCTTCTATTCCGTCCACAACTATTTGAACAAAGACCAAAAACGCCCGTCTCTAAAGTAAAGATCCAGAGTCAATCACAAACTGGTATGTATGCACGTGTATAAATGTGACTGAAGCCTTTACGCCAGTGTTTTCCAAACTGCAAATTTCTAGGATATGTGCGCTTAAGGTACATCATAGGTTTGCGAGTAAGTGCTAGTGAAAGAATAGGGGTACATTCACGAGTTTACGACTGGCACTTTAGTAAAATAACAAACAAACCTGACATTCCGAAGACACAAACTACCCAACAGTAGTTATAAAGAGCAAATCCAACAGACGTATGTGCTTGTGCGCCTCAAGGTCATTAAACCGATTCAAGAATAACAAGTATCACAATTAAGTAGATTAAAACGCCTCCCTGAGAAATATGGCATTCTTGATTTTTTTGTTTTTCGAATTATTCCATCCCTATGCATTACAGATGATGTCATTAAAATGTACAAACTGCGGCAATTATGAAGGAAATAACCCCAGAACATACATTCAGTTTTAATTGGGGAAGAAAATGTAGCGTATGAGCCTGTATTAGCATTTAGGACGAGAGTCATAGTTTATATACTGTTGATCCGAAAATATCGGCAAACAGAGAGGTATTCACATGTTGAGATAATGAATTTCATCTTCTGTTGATCAGACGGTAAAGTCAGTAGTCAGATAACGAGTAACTGCTTCTTGAGTTGTGAGCCTCTCTGTAATGTCCTTGTTCATTGATTATCCTAAAAAACAAGGAAAGCATGGCGATTTAAAACCCAAGTTTGCTATCTGGCAATCAGGAAATTGATCGGGTTTAGTTGAACAGCTTCCCATCAGACAAAAGTTCTGAGATCCAAAGTATCCAATTATTTGTGATTGTTTAGACCTTTTTCAAAGCATAGTGCCTTTTGATCAAGGTTTTAATCATAGGAACACTAGTTCAAATATCAGACAGCAGAACATCCACACGACTGAAAGCTCTACTTATTGGTGAAATGATTTGATGCTTTCGAGAACCTCTTGAACAGTAGTGTGCCATTTTTAATTGCCCGTAGTTTGACTCCAGTTTAGATGAATGATCGAGTATGCGACAGAATAAATCTTCCCTTCAATTTCCGTATGTAAGATTGCGGTAATAAGAAGGTAAATGCAGTTTCGAGGGTGAATTAATTTCGTGCGCCCATTTCAGCAAACTACCCACTTTCTGAGTTATAAGTCTCGTTGGTGGACGATAATCATTTTCTCACCGAACTGTACTTCTGATGATGTGTTATTCACCAAACCAGTTGGAATTATCTGAAACTTGATAAAATTAGCCGGATTTCCATTAGTTCTTGAATGTCCCACATTACAATACTGAAACACGAAAGTGTCGACACATTTTTTCAGCTCTCCCGGATTACTTAGTTTCACTGACATAACAGCTCTCTTTGAAGTTCGAACCAACTTTCGTGAAAAATCGTTAGATTAGGGGTTTTCTGGAGCCGTAGGTAGATGATGCCATCTAACATCGTGCAACTTGCTGTTCTCGTCTTTTTGTGTGAAATAGTTCACTTTGTCAATGACTGGTATACTGGATATACCTTCAAAACTGGATATCTTATTTATTACTTATGAATAGTTTCTGTTACCAAGGTTTGTGAGAACAACTTTTAGTCACTTGAAATGTGAATTTTTAATAGCTAAAACACAATATTAGTTCACAGCAGGGCAACAGTAGAGGGCACAGACTCAGAAACAACTCATATCGACTAAGACACCTAAAATCATTGTCGTAATTTTTTAAAGCACAGCTTGTTAATTGTGGAAAAGACTGCCAAGACTTGCACATAACAGTGACACCATTACCGAATTCGAAAAACTAATAAGGCTGTTAGCAGACTTTCAAGAGATTTACTAGACACTTAAAGAACTACTAAACCTTGAGGTCCATCTAATACTAGACTTATTTTATGAAATTGATTGCAAGCCACCAATATATTGCACCCTCATTGTTATTCATATAAGTAAAACCAAATTATAAAGCATAAGATTCCTATTCTCCTACTAACCATAGTGGATTACGCCTCAATGCTTCTACACCTAACATCCGGAGTTTCCCTAATAGTTCAAGTTGTGACAGTTTCTTACATGATTTTCCACTTCCATCTTAGTTACTACTTCAGAAGGGTAGATAGTTCACTAAACCCCGAGATCCTGCTCAGCTATAGTTGATCTTATGGATTTAGAACTGCGATAAATTATTATGAGTTCCTCCAAGTTCACATGCAACGAGTTTGAAAAAATTTCAATACTCATAACCTATTACCGTCAAAACGTTTTGCTTTCTCGACTAATTATAGCTTTACTCATTAATTTTCAATCAAAAGCTCTTTTCATATTCCTTGCTTAGCTACCTACCCTAATAGTTCAATGGAGATTTCAGCCAGCGTAATCCGTAAATACTATTTTTGAGGTATGCTTCAGAAAATTACTTTGGATGTCTTAATTCATCAGAGTATTTAGCCTTCAGGCTACAGTCCCCACGAATTCTGGTTATTTTCACATCTGCCCATAATAGAGTAACAGTAGGAGCAGCCCAACTGGATGACCCAACCTGAATTATTATTCCTTTCCCAACTACCTTATCTAACCCATTCTTCAAAGCCTCTTTTGAAGTAATTGAAATTACCCTAGTCTTCAGGAAAACTGGCCCCTCTCTAACTTCTAAGTGTACGTGTGGAATTTTTCTACTTCACACTGCCTTCGAGTGATTTAGGTTTTAAATTTTTAACCAAGATACTATCAAGATAATTTGCTAATAAAGAAATGCGAACAGCCAGTAATTAAAGGCTCTGCAAACCAAACATAGGTGGGTAATGTTCACTATTAGGAAAAGAATGTTAATACATTCGTCCTCTTTCTTTCCAACAATGATTCCATTCTTCTGTCCATATCAACGGGTTCTAACTCACCACAAAGTTTCAGTCTGGGTTCGTATTAGTGAGCTTATTTACTCTTCTAAAATAATAGAACTATTCCAAAATATTAAACGTGTCATGATTTGGCTACCCAATCTATAGAACCTTCCCTAGAAGTCATATAACTGTCCATACTGAATCGTCATAATAATCAGAAGCATGCTTCAAAAGACTTCTGGAGAACACAATTGGGCTGGGGATAGAATAATGTATTCCGTGTAAGAATCAAAAGGTTATATGTAATGACCTGGCTTGCATGGCTGAGCCATGAGGTCTCTATTAGGTCTCTGAGCGTCAACAGTTTTTCACCTTTTCCAAGTGTTTAATATTTAACCTAGTTCTTCTCAGTTATCGTATGTTTAGCTTCAAGGATCGTATGGTTGAGGAACAACCCTCTGTCGTTTGGCAGTAAATGACTTGGACTTCCAGTATATGTCCAACCTTCATAGATTTACGGTAAGGTGTATAACAAGGATGACATCGACTACAAACAAACATTTCACCTGATGAAAAACAGGATTTAACATTCGAAAATGAATTCAAAGTGATTTTCAAAATATCTGCTTGTCTAAATGATCTAAAACCGTTCCCGTTGAAAGAGATCTGAGAGCTCTGTAGTATGGTAGACATATTTATATTAAATAATATCATGTTTCATAGAAGCATCATGCGAATCATTGTTAACATCTACATAAATGAATTTGAAGCTTCTAGTTACCTGAAAAGTACAGGGAGGAAGTTGTACGGGCTGCTTCTCTAGTTTACGATCACTCTTACCAGCAATCAGGCGGTCACGTAATTGGCCATGAAGCTGTTCACCGAAACTGCCATTCGAAGCTTGTATCTGAAATTCTAGTATGAAATCTCTGATATTGTTATATGAAACACGAACTAATTTCTTTAAATGTGCCTTTTCAAGTGGTTCAAATGATGTCACTCAAAAATAACTTGTTAATAGTCTCTTCAGGTCATTGAATGAAAATAGAAAAGCCTTGTCAGTAAATGCAAGATTGTTTAATAAACTATAGACTACTCTAACAGTAGCGGTTGTATAGTTAGCCTAAATACTATCTTCCTTGATGTTAAGTGACAAACATCAAGCATCAAAACATACTAAATAATCTTCCACTTCCCATATTGACTCGTTAACAGGTGATTTCCCACGATTATTGGAATCTATTTCTACCGTGATGCTAGATGTGATATAACAATACACTACTAATCCTAATGTACCCAGGATTTTGACACGATGCAAAGGAGAACTGAAACTCGAAATACGCAGTAAAAAATCACATCGTGTTTTTATAACAGCTTTAAATACAACATAAAATATTTAATTGTACGATAAATCTTTAAATAACTGACCAAAAACTGTAAACTGACTCAAAGCATTTTTATCAACCGGGTGTTTTTTTTAAAAATGAACTTGTTGTAATTTTGAACTAGTGCAGTGGAACACTTGTACGAAGAAAACGCAATTTGTGAAAAATAAACATTATTGTACTGGTTTTGTTTAACTCTACTAAAAACACTTCTTCTTGCGCTCAACGTTCTCTTCGCGTTGCTGCCGTTTTTCTTAACGCGCTGCTCCCCATGTAATGTCTACTCTCTCATTCAACAAAATACTCAAACATGGATTTATTTTGATTTAAGTGACGGGATAGTATGGAACATTTAGTGGTGATCATAGACAATCTGGTATCTCTCACCACTAAACTAGCACTTCCACAGTTTCTATTGTCTCACTGTTTTAATCGCATTTCTGAACGTTATTAGCCACTATCGTAATTAAGAATTTATTCAATTTAATTACTGAGTCGTCATCTTATCTCATTCCTTTATCGGATTTGGACGGTCCCCCCTAGTCTAAGACAATACCTTTAAGCTAAGCACAAATTATTACACTTACTTACTTTCTGAATGTCGATGAATATGATACTTTATTAAAATGAAACAAATCAATAATTAAATGACATAAACAGAGAGAGAGAGAGAGAGCAGAAACAACAACTTGAAACGTTCAGCATTCTCAAATGTTAACATTTACAATTTAATATCATAAGAATTCGGTAAATATATAAGGAATACAAAAATCGATATTAATGTTGTCATTAAATAAACTTGAAATAATAATCTATCTACTACCCGAGCAATATATAACCAACGTGCAATATTCAATTCTTTGGAATATTTTTCATTTATAGCCAATGTTTGATTGTAATCATTCATTTGTTCATCATTACTATTAGTAACAATATTATTATTATTATTATTATTATTATTATTATTATTATTGTTATATAATATGCTATTTACATGAGAAGTACTTTCTTTATGTTGTATCATGATGTATTTTTGATTTAATTTAGGCATGTTATTATAATTTGCAGTAGTTTTCATTGAAATATTGAAATGATCATTGTAGTTTTGATTGTCATAATTATTATGATCATTGAAATTAGTTTGTTTTATTCTACTATATGGTATCATTGTTAAATAACCAAGTATATTGGTTACAAGACGCCATAATAATGGATGAGGTGTTGGACATGGTTCAGTTTTACTACGTATATGTATATGTAAGACTATTGTAGCAAATAATAATGATATTGAATTCAATGTCATAACCATTGTAAGAAAAGTACCAATTAATGGTGTGGAATTTGATTCAGGTGTATTCTCTGCAACCATTACCTGTAAGAAGAAAATAAAAGATGTTTTAGGATAAAGAGTAGTAATTTCTTTTTAACAGAGGTTGTGCAGGTTAATAGATATTTATATGTTTGGTGATTGGAAGGAATCCGGCAAGAAGGTTCATTATAGTGTAGTGGAACACTTCTACTAAGGAAAAGCGATTGGTGAAAAATAAACATTGATCATTGTACTCGTTTTGTTTCACTGTACCAAAAACACTTACTTGCGCGCAACATTCTTTTTCGCGTTGATGCCATCGTTCATAACTTACTGCTCAATGTAACGTCTACTTACTCTTTCAAATATATTCTCAACCATGGATTTACTTCTAAAATTGGTAATAGGATGGTAATTAGCATTTAGTGATGATCATAGTCACTCTCGATTGGGTCACCATTAAACTAGTATAAACTTATCCGGATTAAATATATGGAATATTTGAGGTACCGATGTTTTACTTGAGATGTGAATCCACATCCATAGTGTTACAGTTTCAGAAATTACTTTTAAACTATTCACACTGTGACTTACTTGTGGGATTGAAATTTCAACATTAATTAGTTACTGTGTAATAACCAATACGATATTCCTTAGCCCAAAAGGTTGGAACAGTTCTTTTAAGATTTTAAATGTGTCTCGCTGATGAGTACAAGCCGGTAAGAAACCTACATCAAGCATGGCTAACTATTTACAATTGGTCGATCATCAATGTCGTGTGTTTCATGTTCTTCTCAGTCGTGATCGAGTTTTATGCGCAATGACGCGATGCTGAGATGTAAGGCAGTAGTGGGAGTTAGTTGACAGGAGACCCTTTACCTAGGTTTCCTTTTGTTTGGCACTGATTGGCAAAGTGTTCTTGTAATATTGATGAAACCGATGTTCTATGGAAGATTCAATCCCGTGTGACCTAACTTTACAATCGGAGACGTTATCATCGAGCTATGCGGGTCACGACTGACCTCACTACTCAGTGATCAATCGGTTGTAAATACATCTTGGTCCTATAGGAGGTCAGACGTGGCGCGGACAGATCACTGGTCACGTTTTGACTGTGAAGCTAAGTGACAAGGCGTCGAACCCACTATGGAATATCTCCACTATGGTGGAGATGTTTCAAAAACGTATATGAGTAGATAGTTTCAGCTTTCTCACGTCTTCCATAGGTTATGTTTCACTACTCTATATATATATTCTGTCTCTGATTAAAAAATAAGCAGCGTATTCACATATTTGATTAAATTTCGTACCAACCAATTAACTGCCTCAAAGTAAATCCTGTAAGTTATCCAATACTGTGGCATATCTCTATATTTCAAGAAGAGTTTTTCTTTCAAATAAAACTTTTCTTTAACAGATGTTCATAAATCGATAAACTCTTCATGAATATTATTAAAGTATGGCTAACCCTTATTCTCAAAACTAACTAAAATTTTTTCCCCCACTGACTAAGTCGTGTGTTACAACGGACGATCGGCTGTGGCTAAACAGTTTATTAACAATTTTAATCTAGACTACTTATGAGTAGTTAAAGTGATATTATAAAATAAATCAAGGCGATTAGTTACCTGTAAAAAGTATAAGAATAGGAATACTGTCAATCCCATATCGATTTTTTTTACATTTCCACTTGGCAACCAAAAACTGAATACTGTTAGTACACAGAGTAATATACTTGGTGCAATCACTGTATAAGTATAGAATATAGCACGTCTGGAAATATGTATTTTCAAGTTAATCTAAACAGAAAGAGAAACAGGTTTTCAGAATACATTTAAGATAGTGAAACAGCTAATGAAATACAATTGGTATGTATATATACAACTTAAGGTTCTGATGTAAAGTTGACCGATCTGGAAGCACGCAAATGACTTAATAATAGCATCCAATGATAATCGTTCCAACATATCTGTGAATTAACTGGAGTTGATGCTTGCAATGAACTGGATACGTCACTAAGAAGTTGAATAATAGTATGTTTAGTGTGAAACTTTAGACTCCCAGGCATAAGTAGTTAAATCTCAAGCTCTCTGAAAACATATGACCAATATTCTCTGATTTTCACCGATCCCCTACCTAATGTTGATCTCTCTTTGGAAAAAGTCGGTTGACAAAGAGATAAACAACCTAGATTCTACTGTTAACCTCTGAACAAATATCTCATACATTAATATTTATGATTGTGGTTCCAATCTCTACTTATTGAAAAATTTGTGTTGGGGACGTTAGATCACACGAACTCACTTGATAAAGGTACTATTTTTGGATTTTAACCATAGGCTGATCAGGTGACCTTGAGGTTACATTTCCCATCCGTAAAATCCTTGGCTGTCATTTGCTAATGTTATCTTAGTACGCCGTTTTTGTGGCTCTCCCAAAGATATTTGTACCAATGTATAAATTAACTCGATTTGTGCGCTTGTGAACCTTGATTTTCTGAGTGCTTGTAGAATACACTTTCTAAGCCATATCAAGATTTCTTCCTCTACTTAGTGGGGCTTTGGGACGCTCGAATTATAATAGCATATCGTGTCTCTGTATCATCATTTCGCTTTTGTTTACCGACTAAGGTGAACTCGTAATAATTTCAAGCATATCAATTGACAAGAATAACAATTTGCTAAGAGTCAAGCAATTCATTGGTATTCTTCAGAAATGTTTGAATCTAATCGAATAACTGGTATATTTGCTACTAATTTCAGCAATGACTACTCAAAGTTCCTGAAACCTCAAGGTCATGATTGGTGGAGTTCAACCTTGTCGAGTGTAGGCAGTTACTCATGAAGACAGTGATTGAGGTTGAGGAATCCATTTGAATGATTAAAATTATACATCTACATCGTTGGATGCCATCTGTTCAGTGGTGTACAGGTTAAGCGTTCGCACACAGGACTGAAGGTCCTTGGTTTGATCCCCGAGAGAGGGGGTCGTACATAAGCACTGCTGTTAAATAGTCATAAACCAAGACGAAGCGGCTATTCAGTGCTTCCAGGTTTATCAATGGTGGTCGAACAATGATTTATTCATGATTTAAGTTACTAATCATTCGTCATCATCATCATAATAAAAAGATTTACTTGTGTAATATTTTGTCCACCAACAGTAATACGATAATCTTGAAATATTTTCAATTCTAAAACAGATAATTCGACATTTTCAATCAATTCATTTAACATGAAAGTTGTATTGATCGGTATAATATTTAATTGTAATTGACTTTGATCGTAGGTCCATGATGCTAATTGTATATTACATAATTGATGATCAAATGGAAAATACAGAACATCAACATTACATGAACTACGTATACTAACTGGTAAATTCCAAGTGACTTCACCTTAAAAAATGTAAAGAGGAAAAAAAAGAAAAGATTAAGAGATGGGTAAAAAGTGTATATGAATCATATGGTTTGATCATGTTATGTCTTAACACTAGCAAGGTTACCTACTTTCACTTTTACTCTTTCTCTTAATAGTGGTCGACTGGATTATGGAGAGGGGTAAAGCGCAAGACACAGTGGAGAACTAGGATGCGGCTAGACAATCTGGACTATAAAGATGATCTGGCTCTTCTATCGCACACGCAACAACAAATGCAAGAGAAGACGACCAGTGTAGCAGTAGCCTCAGCAGCAGTAGGTCTCAACACACATAAAGGGAAAAGCAAGATCCGCCCATACAACACAACAAGTCACTCTTGATGGAGATGCCTTGGAGGATGTTAAAACCTTTAAATATCTAGGCAGCATCATTGATGAGCAAGGTGGATCTGATTCAGATGTGAAGGTGCGGTTCGGCAAAGAAAAGGCAGCATTTCTGCAACTGAAGAACATATGTAGCTCAAAACAACTGTCAACAAACACGAAAGTCAGAATTTTCAATACAGATGTCAAGATAGTTGTGCTATACGGGGGTAAACTTGGATAAACACAAAAACCATCATTCACAAGATACAAGAGTTGATTAGCAGTTGTCTAGGCAAAATAATTCGGATGCATTGGCCAGACACTATCAGCAACAACATAGTGTGGGATAGAACAAACCAGATTTCAGCAGTGGAAGAAATCAGCAAAAAGCACTAGAGTTGGTGGATAGGACACACATTGAGGAAAGAACCCAACTGCGTCACTAAACAATCACCCACTTGGGATCTTCACGGCGAAAGGAACTAAGGAAGACTCCAGAGCACATCACTCCGAGAATCGGAAGCAACCACCATAAGAATGGGGAGTGAAATTCAAGATCGAAGTGAAGAAAAATGGTGAATGAATCAACGCCTGTGTGATCGTTTATGTTTCATGCCATTCACTGTCTTCAACCATTAGTTAAGAAAACCATGCTGATCCAAACCAGAGAGTCTGAATATACGTACATAGTTTAGTTTAACATTCAATGATTGATGACAACTAATCTGACCATTAGTAGCTCATCATAAGACAAACCCTCACTTAGAACCCTCAAGGTCAAAGGAAAAGAGGGAGAAAAAAATATATTTTACGCCGAGAAATGGAAACAGACATGTGAAAACTGAGAAACATTTTGGACAGAACTAGAAAGGAAAGCACAAGACAAAGTAGGTTGGAGAATGCTGGTCAGCGGCATCTGCCTTACTAGGGGTAACAGGAGTAAGTAAGTAAGTAAGTAAATATAGATAGCTCACTTGCAACTTACACCAATCAATATCATGTATCAAGGTAGCTAAAATGATTGTAAATATGAACCAGTAGTATAGAGTAATACTCTTGGCTCAAGATTTTCATATAATAGCCTTCATCTTGATGATAAAGGCAGTATATGGGTGAACATTATGAAGAAGTTCTTTACCAACAAGATACCGTTATGATGTTCGGTGTCCCAGATCTCAATGCGGTACGACGTGCCAACCCCCGAAATTGACTAGTTGAGTGAGTAGGCAAGAGTGTCAGAGGAAGTCTATTTGGCTACCGAATGATATGCATGAATACTTATTCGTATACATTTATATTTCTCCTCCTAAGAAAAAGCATCCATTTCTCATCTATTCGTCTTCAAGACATTCTTGATTGTTATCAAGTGACCTTCTCATTGTACCACGGATAAAAATTATTCCGATATTTTTCAATCTTAGACAGTTGAAATATCTCACATTCAGGGTAGAATCGATTTAAAATGAAAACAGACATTACATTGATCATCGAATATTTTGACTTTCAGTTTGATTCTATTCATGAAGATGATATTTCCAATTCAGATTTTTTGGTAAAGTTGAACTATTAAGGTATGACAATGGTGAATATGTTAGTCACTTCAAAATGACAGTGTATTTATTAAAATAACATGTAATCTGTCAATAATGAAATTAGATAATATAACTTGGAAAAACACTGTAACCTCATATTACTGATATACGCATCATTGAATACTTGTGTTCAAGGTTAAGATTAGATGTTACGATTAGTCTATGTGCATCTGAAATCTTGACCATAAGCCTAAATTTCAAACTCTACATTCTAATTGGTATCGTGAATCGATCTATGTTAGACCAACATTAGAAATCTGGAAGCATTGAACAGCTGTTTCTTCCTAGGATGGAACTCATCAGCAGTGAGCATCCACGATTCCGCTTATAAGGATCGAACCCAGAACCTTCAATTTCGAGTGCTTAACCTTTTCATTCTAAGTGAAATCGTGAATCGATCAATGTTAGACCACCGTTAGATCAACCTAGAAGCACAGGATCGTCGTTTTGTCCTAGTATGAGACTCCTTAGCAAACGGCATTCATGACCCCTCAAGTGGAAATCGAACGCAGGACCTTCTATATCACTCATTTAACATCTACATTTCAATCCTAAACGATTATATTGTCTAATTATAAAACCTAAATCTTATTTCAAGTACTATAAAACGCACATTCATATTAACTGTAAACTGTCTAACTGGTTCCGTAGAGCTTTCCTCAAGGTCATTTGGATAGTTACTTTATGTCACTTTAAAGCTTAGCTATAAATAAAACTGTGTAGTTATTATGATGAACTGAGAATCAAGTCTAATAGTTGGATATTAACTCTTTTTGAAAAATGACTAATTATGACATTGTATGATTTTTGGATGGGCTATTTGTTCAAGGAATTTGTTGGGGATGTTAGATCCCCAGAACTCGCTTGATAGATATCTTTATTTTGAATTTATTTCATGAACCGGTCAATTGACCCTGAGATCACACTTCCCACCGGTATAAATCCTTGGCTGTGATTGGTTACTGTGTCATTTTAGTACGCTATTTTTGTGACTGTCCCAAGGACGCCTCTATGGAGTACAAATAAACGCAATTTGAGTGCTGGCATTCATTATGTACTGGCTGGGTGTTTGTAGAATACACTTTCTACTCTATATTAAGACTTCTTGCTAGTACAATTAGGACAATCGGATCACAGTAGCCTACCTGGACGCTAGTTCATTGTTTTGTTCTCGTTATTCAACTAAGGTGAACCCATAAAAATATAAGAATGGTAAAGCAGGATTATATTATGCCTGATCTCTGTTCTTAGTGTAAAACTTTAACGCTTATTGATAACTTTGACCCAATTCATAATATTAACGCATGACCTATTTCTGTTCCCCAAATTACACAATGCAACATGTAAGGGTCCATTAATTCTATTAAAACCCATTGTAAGTTAACTGGATTTTATTGTTCATGCTTTGTTAGGTAAACTCTGTTTTCTGACTAGTTAGTGAGCAGTTTAAGATTGTCAGTGTAGCATTATACCTTTCACCTTATTCTCCTGTATGTAGATAGGGCAAACGTAACATGAAAATATGAATTCATTGTATTGTGAAAATGTTGTCTCACATTCGCCTGAAGTCATAAATCGATCAATGTTAGGCCAGCATTGAGAATGTTGAAGGACTTGGTGGCCATTTCCTCTTATTATGGGACTCATCACCTGGTTAGACATTCACACTGTTGAATGCCGATCCAGTGATCAAGAGACTAAACGTTTGTGCGCAGGATGAGCACTACTGATGAGTCCCATGCTCGGACGAAACAACCATCCAATGCTTCCAAGTTCTAACAATTGATCAATTCATGATTTCAATGAACAATTTACCTTTCTGACTAACTTGAACTCGACTTTGTGATACATCCAATAAACCATTCTTTCCATCATCTGCATTATTATACACATATAAATCCGGTGTCCATACACGTGATGATGGGAGTACAAAACTTTTAAAATGATTTTTAAATTCATTTGTTTGCTGATTATTTTGATGATGATGATGATGATGATGATGATGATATAAATTATAGAGTTGTAACATTCTAGATTTAATAGTTTGATCAATCCATTTCAATTGAATTAATAAAGAACTGAGTAGAATTTGATTTTTTTCATCTAAATCAACGATTTGTTGTAAAATTATACAAATTGATGCAATTAATGTTTCATTGCCTAATTTTACTGGTCGACTTGCTGGTTCATAATTTTTCAATAATTGTTGAACAATGATTTTTTCCGATAATTGATCAGATTGACAATAATTCATATAAAAGAAATGTAATAAAATAAATTTAATGATCATTTGATACACTAATGATTTTAACATATTTTTTCAGAATAATTTGATAAAATGAAAGTTATAAATTTTTATTGTACATGTAACACCTTTCAAATTAAATTGTCTTTTTGTTTTATTGATAAAATAAATAGTCATTAAATGTAACCAATCATGTTATGGTTTTCTTGACCAATCATAAGTTGACTTAGAACATTTCAACCTGATTGGTTAATTAAAGACTAAGTATGATTATTTCTTTATCCCGTTTTTAGGGTTATATTGATTTCTGTTATAGGTAATCACTATCGATGTGTTTTTTTGTATCTATAATGAAGTAAAAAAAATCAGAAAAGAATCTCTATCAAGTTTTTTGGTAAAACATTGGAGAAAGAGGAGAAATGTTTGTTTACAGATACATTCTTCATTAGTCTATGGATACGCATCATCTAAGAGTCTTTTTACCTACTTTATACTGTAAACTTTTTCTGTTTTTCATTAATTTATTTAAGATAATACTCAAATCTATATCAGTAGACTAGCTATCTTAGAAAATTCGATAAAAATTAAACCTTACACATTTTTGAAACCATGAACCGACCAATGTAAGACCACCACTGGAAACCTGGAAGCACTGGACTGCCGTTTCGTCCTGGTATGGGACTCCTCTGCACTGGGCATCCACGACTCCTGCACCCCGCGGGATTCGAACCCGGGACCTGCGGCATTGTACGCGAACGCCCAAACCGATACACCACTGAGCCGGTATCTAACGGTGTTAATGTCTAACTTGATCAGATTCACGGAGTTGCGCAACCTCATACACAGTCTTCGGTAGTTACTGTCTACACCCGAACAGGTTGAACTTCACTGGTTACGTCTTCCCACTAGAACTAGGAGAAGATTCCTCACGAAGCTAGTGAAAAATTATATCGTCTGACCGAAGTAGAAACTTACATTACTATAAATTAATGAAACAAGTATGTTTTACTTATGCAGGTGATTTCTGACATTAGTGATTTAACTGGCTAATTCTTTAAAGTTGAAAACTTTGACATTAGTGGTTTACTGGTTTACTGGTAGCATACTTAAGAGATTCAAATGTTCTCAGTTCGACCATTTGTGTAGTTGTTGACTTACATATGTAAAACAAAACTGTTATCTAGTACTTCCTAGTTTTCATAGGTACAATGAGTGGTATGTACCCGTGATGTAAGAATATAACTTTCTATTTCAAGTAATTATGTTGTAATGTATGTTCTTACTTCAGTCATCACTATGTTTACTGGACATAGTCTCATTGTGGTTTCTCCTTGTTGCGGAAACTGAAAACTGTTCATTCCAGAAAGATTAAACATAAAAGGACGCAGCAACTTGAACCCTCAGTTTCTAGTACCGTTTAAAGATATTTGAAATCATAAAAACTGAAATGAAGCAAGTAAATTATCATAATGGAGATCGTTTTCTCGAAACTACGGAAGTCGAATTGTAAGTTTTGTAAAATAAACCTTCTATTACCTCAATGTTGTGCATTAATTGAACAGACTATGTGATGTACAAGTCAATTTTGTTTCAATAATAGCAATACAAGTTCGCGATTATAAGGAAGTATGAACCAAGACAGAAGCTTACCTAGCTTTAGATCATCCCTTCGTGGTAGCCGAAATGAAACTGAAACTAAAAAAGCACTGGACAGCCGGCCGTACAACATCGCAGAAGTTTATAATGGCCATTCTTTGGGATATTGGCACACTCAACGAATCCAGGATAGCACCCAGCAATAAGTTCTAAGCCTTACACGATCTACTCAATGGAAGGGTGACTACCATGGAAAACAATTAGAAAGGGATTAAAGATGTAGAAACCTTTACATATCTAGGCAAAATCGTTGATAGACAAGGTGGATCTGACGCATATGTGAGGGTGGGGAGTGATATGACATGAACATCATTTCTAAAATTGAAGAGTATATGGAACTCAAAAGAACTCTTTGTCATCCAACACCGAAGTTACAGTTTTCAACACAAATGTTATGACAGTTCTGTTGTATGATGCAGAAACTTTGGGAACCACGAAAGCCATCATTCATAATGTGTTAATTAACAGTTTTCTACACAAGATCCTTTCGCCAAACATCACCAGCAACAACCTGCCGTGGCAAAGAACAAACCAGATCCCAACTGATAAATAAATTAGGAGGAGTGTTGGAGATGGATTGGGCACACATTAATAAAAGCACCCAACTGCATCACCGGATAAGCACAAACCTAGGAATCCTCAGGATCAGAGTAAAAGAGGAAGACCAAAGAACATATCACGTCGAAAACTGGAAGCGGACATAAAAAGTATGAATAGCAATGGGGTAGAACTTGAAAAGAAGCTGCAGTACAGAATAGGTTGGATAGATAGAGAGAGTACAATTACAAGTCTATTTGTTTAATAACGGATAACAAGGAACAAGTGACCTTAAATAGAACAAGCCATCATGTCAATTGTTGTACACATCAAGACATCATAATATATAATTGAATTAGTCAAATGACAAATGAAAACAATCAAATTATGAATTAGGGGAAAATTAAATTTTCTTCTGATCAGTAATTATTTATTCTAGTCTCAATATCGATTAATGTTCCCATTGTGAATTCGAAGAAAATAATATACAGAAATCTAATTAAGATTATTCATTATAGAGTTATGGAGATTGTTGTTTTAAACTGAAATCATGAATCAATCATTGTTAGACCATCATTGGAAATCTGAAAGCACTGGACGACTCATCAGCAATGCGCAATCAAGATCCCCATAAATGAGAACTGAACCAAGAACCTTCAGTCTTACAGTCGAACACTTAAACTCTGAACCACTAAGCCAGCATCCAATTGTGTTAATGTCTAACCTAGATTAATCTAAGATTTTGCGCAATCTCACCCATTGTCTTCAGTAGTTACTGCCTACACCTGACAGGGTTCTTGTGCAGGACGGGAGGTCCTGAGATCGATTCCCGATCGCGGAGGCCATGGATGCGCAATGTTGAAGAATCCCATACTAGGACGAAGCGGCTGTCCAGTGCTTGTAGGTTTCTAATGGTGGTCTAACAACTGGTTCATTCATTAATTCAATGTAATTAAGATTATGTTCTGTAATATACATGAAAACTCTCAAGTAATTTACTAGACCATAACAAATATTATTTAAGGGAAAAATGAAGCATACAAATTTGTTCTCCAAAATATTATTTTATATTTTGTATTCTTATTGCATAACTCCGCCTGTAGACCTTTCGGGGCTACTGCTGATCCCAAGACCGGATAAAGGAGAAGGGTTGGGCATTTCAACTGTAATACCCACCGGTAAACATACAAATATACACACTTGGAACACTCATTAAACATCCTGAACTTTTATGGAAAATTGTAGACTACTTATATGTTGTAAGTAGTTCATAAAAACTAGCAGAAGTTTGCGGGCGATTGATCATCGTAAACCAATAATTATGCAACAATGACGAAAAAATTAATTATGTTTACAATGTACAAGCGTTTGGAATAATCTCTTGACTAATGCTTTGATCGGTTTATGTTTAATAAACGTTTGATATTCTATGTTTGGTGTAGGGTCAAGCATTCTGAATTTTGAGTAAACATGAATGTTCACATGTATTTTAAATTTAAAAGTTGTCCTTAACTTGTACTCTGCATCAATGTAGATAATTGATTGAATGATTCGTAGGTTAATTTAACTTAAAATCGAGAACCACTGGACAGTTGATTTGCAGAAAAATGTAATTCTTTAGTAGTGTATAACCACTAGATTCCATTTCTTGGGCGTTCACTGAGAGGGTCTGAGCTCTTGTGAGATCGTGATTCCGCATGGTCCGAAAAGTTGTACTGATATGAAGAACGAGAATGCTAAGACCGGATGGGATAAGTTATGTATTTAAAGAAGACACAGTTTACTAGCAATATGTGTACACCTTATATTCAGACTTTCATTTGCGAAACAGCAAATAGCTTTCAGTCCAAATATCAGCTGAAGGTTATTGATTGTCTCATACAATTACAAGCTCGAATGAGATATCTCCTCAGTTTCTGAAGAAAATTTATTTATGTTA